ACGTATATATATATACATATATATATATATACGTATATATATACATATATATATATATACATTATGTGTTACATATGTACATATTACACAATATGTACCTTGTTATATTAAGTAATCTAGTTTATTTTTTAGGATCAACCTGGAGTTTTATGTAATCAAGAATTTTGAAATACATGTGGAAGGTAAGGCCTTCAATATTACTGCCAATCACAAAGCATAGGCCTATTTTATTTGCCAATCCTTAAATCCTTTTGAATTGAATATTTATTATTTCTTTCAGATCCAGCAAAAAAACAAAAGACAGATGGAGTATATTCCTCCGACATTCCCCGCTCAGATGGTTTCTGGGTAAACAATAGGTGGCATTCGCACGCATGTGCGGGGCTCGAGTTTGAAGATCTCAATAAAAGGCTTTCCCCCTGTTTACAGCACAAGAACATTTCCTTGCTAGGAGATTCCACCTTCCGACAGTGGTTTCACGAGCTCGTTGACATTTTCAACGGGAAAAATCACTCAAATGGGCTTACAATGTTTCATCGTGTGGCAGACCTTGACATTGACATCCTTTTTCAATTCCATCCTCTTTGTATTCTCGCAGAACAAAAGGTTATTCCATTCGCCAGTATGAAGTACGAGAGTGAAATTATACGCGAGATGCATGATTGTAACCGCGTTGTCGTAGTCGGCCCATGGGCCCACTACGGTCAGTGGACAAAAAAGAGCTATCTCGATCGTCTTTACGGAATCCGAGATGCAGTCGTTGACTTTTTACAAAGGTGCCCAAATGCAACTGTTGCTATAAAGGGATCCCATCCACGCAATCATAAGAATATATATTTTTACATATTTGGAAACGACTATATATTTCGTCAATACAATTTGCTTTTACGAGAGGTTTTTAAAGGAACTGGCGCAGTATTTCTGGATGTGTGGGATATGAACTTATCATATTATGCTTCTAATACACTACACATGCCGCAGGCCGTTATCCGTCAGGAGATGAACCTTTTATTTGCTTGTCACGTATGTCGATGACGTCACGATTGTATCTCCGTCCGGACCGTCATAACGCCTAGTTTTCATAAAACCGCCAACTATCCCTGCAGCGCTTTTGCCGCAACATATTATCTGATCTCGAATATTTCGTTCATTCCTGTGGACTTCGTATTATACTTATTGTGTATGATTATGTGCCATGGTTTTATTGTAATCTGAAATAATGTATATTAATGTATATTAAAATGTATATATTACGGTAATATATATATTAACAATAAGAGAGGACCGAGTATTATAGAACCTTGTGGTACACCACATGTGATAGAAGAAAGTCAAAAATAGAAAAAAGAAGTAAATTGTTGGCGACCGGTGAGATAGCTTTTAAATAAAAAATAAAAAATATATATATTTCCCATGCCAACCATTTCTTCTAAGATATTTTGTAACCTAATTTTATTTTCATCCCCTCCTAGCATGCAAGGATCTTTCTCATGCAACGTTGCAACTTAACTTGTGAATCACTTTAATCCCTTTCATTGTTTATCAAACTTAATCAGACCCAACTAATTTATACTTTTGAATTACCACTCTGTCTTTCTGCGCATGCTCAGCTTATCTTAATTAATTGTATTTCTATGTTTCTTTAATCATTAGGCAATTTTATGTGAAGAGTGTCACACCATGTGTGTGGTACGAAACTAAGTATAGCTCTGGTCTAGCATTGAGCACTCTGCTGGTAATACTTGCGATATTTTATTTCCGTTAT